GCACATATCGCTATCCATCAAATTGACAACACTGCCAACCCACAGAAAGAATTTGATAATAATAATAATAATCATTTATTCAGCATAAAAAAGAGTACAGAGTAAAAAAGAAAACTTAAATACTAATAATCGTCTATGCTGAAAAGGCTTCCACTCAGCTGGTGCCGCAGCGTGTCACTACAGCGCTGATTTTCAGTGGAGCCACTTGAAAAACAGAAATAGCATTTGTGATGAATTTAAAAATATAAAATGAAGAATTAGGGCAATTCCGAAGGTATAACTTTCGAATTTCTCTCAACTGAGTTGTCATGATTAAACTCGGTTTGCAACCTGTCATATTTATTTTGAAAATGGGAGAAATTTTCAAAAGTTCAATTCGATCGAGATTTTCTGGTAGGGGCTCGAACGCCCTGAGCTTGAGGGCCCCGGGCCACTGCCCCGCCTAGCCCCTAGACAGCTGCCACTGTAATGAATACAAAATTATTATTTTAATACGATTTTCTTCTTTTTTATTTTCACTTCAGTTGCGTACAAATACTTTTATATTATAGATTGCTCTTCCAGCTATACTTAAATTAAAATTAAAATTCAAAATATCTTTATTCATGTAGGTCTATTACAGACTCTTATGATATGTCAAATCTACCGTCAGTTCGGAATGATTTCGAGATGAGAAGAACTGACAAGAAACTCAGCACGTATTATTAATGTTGTACATATTTACAATAATACAATTTCATTTCATATTCAAATTTGAGAGAATAGAGTGACCACCAGCATATGCTATTGAAAGAAAAAAATCAAAAAATCTAATCAGTGATAGCAACCTTAACAATTAACTTTAGTAACAAATTTTAGAACAGATGAATGACCAAATGGACCGATGTCTATTTGACCAAAAAGGAAAAGGAAAAGGAAGAATATTTTACTGAGCTATGATCTGTATATTTCAGAATAAATACTTGTACACGCTCTGAATAAATTACTAAGGTTTAGCAACCGTTAACTGACAAGAAACTCGGCACGCTTTTCAAATTAAATTATATATACATAGCCTGAATAATACTGATTAAATCAACCAGTCAATTAAATCAACATATCAATAGTATATGTTAACATATACTATTGATATGTTGACTGTTTGATTAATCATTTAATCTGGTTGATTAAAATTTTAATCGGGATATATTTAATCCGAATTAAATAAATCCCGATTAAATTTAGCCCAAACATCCACCGTTGTAATCAAATAGTGAATGTAATTCACCAAAAACTAGCGTTTAAATACCAGCTACATATTAAAATTCAAAATATCTTTATTCATGTAGGTCTATTACAGACTTTAGATATGTCAAATCTGCCGTCAGTTGGGAATGATTTCGAGATGAGAACTGACAAGAAACTCGGCGAGTTTCTTTTAAAATAAATGTTTATAATAATACACAGTCATTATAAATTCAAATTTGGGAGAATAGAGTGACCAACAGCGAGTGCTATTGCAAAAGTAAAAAGTCTAATCAGTGTTCGTAACCTGAACAGACCAGTCCGCAGTAGCAGCATATAAAAAAAACCCTACAATCAATATTCGAGAATAATAATGATAAAATATGATGCTAGTAATAATAATGAAACTTACAATAATAATAATAAAAAAAATAACCAACTATATGTTTTTTTCTATGGATGATTGTGCACTCGCCTGCGCTAACACGAACATGAGATCAGATCAGTTAGGCCATCGTGACAAATTCACCAGGAATTTATCACAAACCACGTGAAGGTCAACGTGACATGGTACATTGCTAGCAATGGGGTCATTAGTGTGGACTAATAATCCCTTTCCCCCACCAATTGTATGTTATGAAATTGTATAATAAAATAACAATAATAATTGTACGTCGGTTGTACGCATTGTACGCCGGCTTCTCTCCCTGGGGTCCTGAACCCCGGCCAACTGTTTCTGCCGGGGGTATGTTGCCATCTCCTCTCCTTAAGAGGGGAGATGAGAATTTTTGGAAAAAAATAATAATAATAACACCAGCTTTAAAAGCTGTGACATGAGGTAGATAAAAATATATTTTTGGACAATTCACACAGCGCCATCTAGACCCAAGCTAGCTAAAGTTATGGGTACTAGATGACTGTTACAAATACATAAATAGATATTCTTTTTGTAAATACATGCATATTGTATATAGTAAACACACAGGCCGATACAAACAATCATACTTATGAATACAAAGTTTGTGTCCGAAATTCCTAGTCCACCGAGGCTCTCAGTAAGTAGTCAGATAATAGATTTAGGCTGGATTTCACCAAAGAAACTGATCGCGTTTAGTTTGAACTGAACGCCATTAAAACGTTTAAACGTGTTCAAAAATTCATTTTGCATTTCACTGCTATAAATTTCGCTAAACACGTTTATAAATTCTTGACACCCAATTTCCTACGATTAACTCTTTAAAGATATTTATACCAGCTGTCAGTTATCAAACAGTCATCAATCAAATTTTTGACAATATAATATCGGGAATAAAAAGAAATTGCCAGTAGTGTAAAAAATCTATACATATAAATAAAATTGGAGTGTCTGTTTGTAATATTGAAATAACCGTTTTTTACTGCATGCATATGAATATAAATACGGAAGATACACCAAAAAAACACTTTTTAAAATCTTTGTCTGTCTGTCTGTCGTTCTGTTTGTTCCGACTAATCTCTAAAACGGCTGAACCGATTTTAACGGCACTTTTTTTGTTAGGTAGCTGATGTAATAGGGAGTAACTTAGGCTACTTTTATTTTAGAAACTTTTTTTAAAATGAAGATTAATTACACGCGGACGAAGTCGCGGGTACAGCTAGTCCTCAATAAAATAATGTTTTATCTTGTTTATAGGTAAAGGTTGTTGTTATATATTATATAGTCGACGGTACTTATTAAATCAAAGGCTAAAAAACTCATCCTAATTATCACATGATTGAATTACAAATATTTCTTAAAATTATTTTAGTTAAATTATCCATTACATCAAATATTATTTTAGACCGTGTAACACTGTGAACGAATGAAAATCTAAACTTCATTTTGGTAAACGCGATCTGTATAACGCTGGTGAATTCCATTTAAAGTAAAACGAGATCAACGTCGTCCTTTTTTTTGGGGGCTATGCTGAACTCCGTTTCCTTGAACGTGTTTATACTATGATTGGTGAAATACAGCAGACTGGATCACGGTGTTACACGCTCATAAAATAATATTTGATGCTATGGGTAATTTAAATAAAATAATTCTAAGAAATATTTGTAACCCAATCATGTAATAATTAGGATAAGTTTTTTAATTTTTAATTAAATAAGTACCGATCTAAAAAACAACTACGAAATATAAAACAACAACCTTTACCTATAAACTAGTAAAACATTTTTTTATTGAGGTTTCTTTTACGCTACAATTTTTTTTTAATCCCGATATAAATTTTTAAAAAATTTGATTGATGACTGTTTGACAACTGACAGCTGCTTTAAATACGTTTAAAGAGTTAACTGTAGGAAATCAGACGTTCAGAATTTATAAACGCGTTTAGTGAAATTTGAAGTGGTGAAATGCAAAATGAAGCTTTGAACACGTTTAAACGTTTTAATGGCGTTCAGTTTGAACTAAACGCGATCAGTGTCTTTGGTGAAATCCGACCTTATAGTGTCTTTGAAGATATTGGATAGCATATGTGTGAGTACAATATTGATGACTAGCATACCTAGCCCTAAGTTAATCATAACATCATTCAGCCGTGTTATTGCTATCGTCGGAATACTTTAACAAGTTTCTAAATTGATGAAGTTTTCGGTACACGAAGAAATGCCGAAAGCCCATTATTAGTATGCGGGACCAACAAACTTATACCGTAAGAGGATTCTTAATAAATAAGCACACGATAGATAATGTCTAGACGACAAAAGACGAGTCAATTTTGGGTTGAGATAATACGAGTATTTTTAGTTTGGTGTTTACCTTTTTTGGACTACTCTAATGCTGTTGGTAGTAATGGGAACTAGTAACTCCCATTGCTAGCAATGTACCATGTTAGGTCGATCTCCCCGCGGTTCTCCCTGGAAACCATCGTGATAAATTCTTGGTGAATTTGTCACGATGGGCTAACTGACCTGACCTCATGCTCATCTTATCATCCTCCACTGGTGCCCTGCCAGCGTAAACCGTTAGCGCAGGCGGGAGCACCATTCCATTATCATACATACAAAAAAAAATGCTGTTGGTCGCAGCTGGCCTTTACAGCTTCACTAGACGATAGGGCGAGTGCAAATGGCACTCCAAATCCGAGAAGGACTTATGGAGCGGCTGAAGGCCAACTCTCGCCTGACGGATACGTCTTTAGTCTGAGGGCACCACTAGGGTTTCGAACCTCGGCTCAGGCCGTCGTAATTTCGATCTCCGTTTGAATGGACGGGGAATCGATCGGAGGATCGGAGATAATCTAAATCAAAATGCTAAAAAAACTTCATTGTTCCAGCTTCAATAATTTCGATTTTCCATACAAACTTTGATACCCCCTTTCAATTCCTTACAACCCTTATTTCGCGTTATAAAGTAGCTGATGTCCTTTCTTCGGGTCTAAACTATCTGTGTACCAAATTTCATTTAAATCGGTTTAGTAGTTTTAGCGCGAAAGCGAGACAGACAGACACGGTTACTTTCGCAATTTAAATAAGATAGACCTATTACCTAAGATACAGCAGTTCTACTATAGTAGAGTATAGAACATACTAGAACATCTACAGCTTCACTAGCAGGTTCCTACAAGATTTACCGAAGCAAGAGAAACACGAGCTGTGAAGGTAAGTGTTCACGTATCGGCAAGGGATCACTTAATCCTGCACCCGGGTCACAAGTCCCGGGCACTGCTCGGAGTTTATCTTCCATACGATATACCCGGCATCCGCACTGTGAATCTATGGAATGCAGAAGTTCGTCTTACTAATAGAAAATGTTGGAAACTCCAACAAAAATAGGTATTAAAACCTCTTCAATTACTTATTTCATAATATTTAAATATACAACGCTGTGTTCTCAAGATATCGATTCTAAAATGGACTTGTATCCAGAGCCGTAAAATATTAAATAAAAAAAATAAAAAAGATATCGATTGTCATTTTTTTCTCTTCTTTAATATTTTTGTTACACCGCTAATTATATCGACATATTAATCTACACATCTATACATATAAATAAAATTGGAGTGTCTGTTTGTGATATTGAAATAACCGTTTTTGACTACATGCATATGAATATAAATATGGTACATACACCAAAATAACATTTCTTACAATTTTTGTCTGTCTGTCTATTTTTGTTTGTTCCGGCTAATCTCTGAAATGGCTGGACCGATTTTGACGGGACTTTTGGCAGGTAGCTGTTGTAATAAGGAGTAACTTCGGCTACTTTATTTTAGAAAAATAAAATAGAATTCCACGCGGATGAAGTCGCGGGAACAGCAAATGTAATAACAGAAATAGTATCGTGAGAAAGTGATATTACTGCAAAGGTATGAAATAAGTTCCCTTAATATAAATTTAATCTGAGGCATTATTAGAAATTCTGCTGTCTCCGATAGAGAATTAAAATTAGGCAACAATATTTTAAGGTCAAAAATTGGAACCGTTAATCAAGAATGATGTTCAGGGTTCTTGAACATGAATTTTTGCGAAACGTCGAGATTCAATTAGTTGGGAAAGGTCAAATAATTGTTTACCGCGAGAATCAACAATTTTCTATCAAAAGATTTTCAACTTGAAACTTGTGGAGATTTATTTAGGTACGAAAGGAATGTTCAGGGCTGTCCTTGGATTATATAAATATAAAGTTATTAAAATACAAATTCAAAATATCTTTATTCATGTAGGCTCTGAATGCTGGGCGCTGAAAAAGCACCAAGAGCAGAAACTCAATGTCGCAGAAATGAAAATGCTAAGATGGGTTGGTGGCATAACAATGCTGGATCACATCAAAAACATCCACGTTCGAGGTAGTTTTAAGGTGACTCCCATACAGGAGAAGATTTTAGAGAGCCGCCTAAGGTGGTACGGTCATGTCATGCGGCGACCATCAGACCACATGACAAGAACAGTGCTTGACATAAGTACCCAGCTCAGAAGACGTGGCAGACCCCATCTCACATGGATGTCCGTTATTGAGAGGGATATAAAAAGCGCCAAAATAACATCCCTGACGAGCCAGGACAGAACGTCCTGGCGAAGACTGACCAGACTGGCCGACCCCAAATAAATGGGACCAAAGCCAGGCAAAAGAAGATGTAGGTCTATTACAGACTCTTATGATATGTCAAATCTACAGTTAATTCGGAATGCTTTCGAGATGAGAAGAACTGACAAGAAACTCAGCTCGTATTCTTTTCAAATATATGTTGTACATGTTTAAAATAATACACATTCATTTTTAAATTCAAATGGATTCATAATATTTTGTTTAATTCCGCTGCCATTAGCATGTGTGAGACCACAAAGATTCAGCGCGGAAACCTGACCACTTTTACAATATTCTCTATTGGTGATCAAATTCCGACAGTTATTGAGTCTACACCTAATACATTACAGGAAGTATGAAAGTGGCACCGGTGTCAGAGAGGTTGAAGAGTAATCGTCTATCATGGTATGGACATGTAATGCGTAGGAACGAGTATAATATTTTAAGAAAGGTGTTACATATGAATGTGGATGGTTATAAGGAAGGCCGAAAAAGAGATGGATGGACTGTGTGAAAGATGATATGGTAAGAAAGGAAGTAAATAACGCGATGACTGCGAACAGGGATGAATGGAAGCGAAAAACATATTACGCCGACCACAAATAAATGGGATAAGGATGAAGCAGATGATGATTGAGTCTACACCCACATTGCGACATGTGTTTCGTGTATGAACGAGGCATCTTCAGGCATTGAATACAGTTCAGATACAGCTCGGAAACCTAGTGTTCACTGTTCAGCGACCATGTAAAAGCTTTTAAGTACTATGTTATTCTTACCACTTTATGGAATTTGGAATTTAATAAGTTAACTAGCTGCATTTCCAGCTGTTCTACGATTAAATTGTATATAGGGAAATGATTATCAAAATCGGCTTATCTTTTTTTGTTTTTATATATTACTTATAAGCGTTTATTTGTAGTATATATAATATAAATTCAAAAAAAAAAAAAAAAAATATTTTTTTTATGTTTTTTTTTATTGGGTTGTTAGGGCTATTGTCAGATTTGTTTATAGCACCTGTAGCATATATATATATATCTAATGCTCGCCCTTTTTCAAAGTTCGCTACCTAGACACACAGAATTGAAGGATATTCTTAGGAGCGATGGTTTTTATCTCCTCGGGTAAAGAGAGTAGTATATATATATAGATAGATATATACAACCACATAGGATGTGAAGCGGCGTTTCCTCTTCAGTTTGGCAGAATCTGCAGATACTTGTCGTGCATAGACCTAGTTTAGCCATATGCTTGTTTAATTTGCAGTGTCCGTGTCAGTTGCAATTTAAAAAATTAACTCTTACCTCTTTATAATACAAGTATATGTGAGCTAGAATCTCCATTTATGAGTTTATATATATACTGTAGCAGTAGGCAGCTGTGCCTGCGGTTATATATATTTATATATATAGCCTATATGTTATCCTGCTGTATAAGCTATATTACTGCAAAGTTTCATCAAAATTCGTTCAGTAGTTTTTGCCTGAAAGAGTAGCAAACACCTATACTCATAAACTTTCGCATTTATAATATTACTGGCTACTCGCCCCGGCTTCGCACGGGTGTACATGTGTTATATATATAAACCTTCCTCTTGAATTACTCTATCTATTAATAGAAACGGCTTCGAAATCCGTTTCGTAGTTTTAAAGATTTAAGCATACATAGGGACGGACAGACAGCAACTGCGACTTTCTTTTATACTATGTAATGATAATTTAACAAAGTATTTTTTAATCTTTCCATTACAGAGAAGAAAAAGAAAATATTTTCTCTTTACACAACATTCATATCTACTCTTCCACAGAATTTATTTTATTATAATAATTTTATGACCTGACCCATTTTATAGAGATGTGCTAACTCGTAATAAACATGACTCGAGTGAACTCGAGTTGAAATTCAGGTAACGAGTTACCTGAAATAAAAAGTTTTTTTTTTATTTTTTCGAACAATTCTAATGTTTTTGGGCGCAGCTAGCCTTGAAAGCTTCACCGAACTTTAGGGGGCGAGTAGAAATGGCACTTTAAAGCCGCGGAAGGACTTATGGAACGCATAATCATTTTATTGATAACATAATCGGACGAATATGCGAAAAAAAATGATAACAACCTCAAATCAATACTGAAATATTTGTGACGAGTGAAAATTGTATGATATGAAATGATCGGAAAATTTCATGTCATTCATTTCGATGACAGACTCATGCTTCAACTCTTTCACTTGATTCATTCATTTACCAGTTGAATTCTTCCAACTTATGCGCAGAACTCGAGTTAGTAACTCGAGTTGACAAATCTCTACCATTTTACTATGCTAAGGCTTTATTAAAGGCGTAATATAACAAGGTTTTTATCGTGATAAACATTTTAAATTGAGTAGAATGTACGGTGAAAGACCTGTAATTTGTTGTTTTCAGATTTAAACGTTGTTTTTTTTACAAGATTTATTTTTAATTCGAAATGTTACCACATTCTTTTTTTATATAAAAATATAAATAATAATAAATTAATAACCCTGGACAATTCTCACAGCGTCATCTAGACCAAAGTTACGCTAGCTAAAGCTTGTGTTATGGGCACTAGATAACAGATACAAATACATAAATATTTTTTTTCGTAAATACATACATATTATACATAGAAAACACCCAGATCGATACAAACAATTATACTCATGAATACAAATGTTTGTGCCGTAACGTTGTGCCGAATCGAACCCCCGCCCATCGGGAGAAAAAAAGATGTCCTTTACCACTAAACCACCGAGGCCGTCGATATATTCTATAACGCACGTAATGACATAAATCAGACAATATTTATTTAGGTAAAAATATGTAAAAAATAGCGTAAGTCTATGTGACTTCTAACAAATAGAATAGAATAGAAAATCATTTATTCAAATTAACTTCATTTAAGCACTTTTGTATAGTCATAACAATTTTTTTTTATCTACCGCTCGTTCGGAAAGCTGTCTCATCACAAGAAGAACGAGCAAGAAACTTGTGTGTTGCTCTTTTAAATAATCCTTGTAAGTTCACATTTACAAGTCGAAACGTGTGAATACAAACTACCAACCAGCACTAATTTATTAGGGTCAAATATTAATACACAATAATATTAAATCAGTCGTAGTGATAAGAGCAGACCAGTCCCTACAAGCAGCACTCGTTCACGAGTATGACGGATATGATAGAGATAGCTAGGTAATCCACTCGTTCACGAGTATGACGGATATGACGGAGATAGTTACCTAACTATGGATTATCTATGGATTACCTAATCCAATAGAATAACAGCATTGTTCTTTTTGTTTCAGCGCGCAGCGTCTCTCACAGTATAACCTTCCTGGAGGTGCCACAATGGGTGGACCCTCGGCGTGAAGCCGAGCTCCGCTGCCAGTACATGAGGCAGGCTCAGGACCCACCGCTGCATTCTGTCAAATGGTACAGAGACATGAACGAAATATTCAGATACACGCCACAAGAGGTTAGACATGTTTAATTTTTATGTATATGGTATGACAGCTGATGGGACAGCTGATGGGACAGCTGTTGGGACAGCTGATGGTTAGTGGTAACATTTGTCTAATGTAGTAGAGTAATCTAAATATGCATAACTCAAAGGTGACTGACTGACATAGTGATCTATCAACGCACAGCCCAAACCACTGGACGAATCGGGCTGAAATTTGGCATACAGGTAGATGGTATGACGTAGGCATCCGCTAAGACAGGATTTTGATTAATTCTATCCCCAAGGTGATAAAATAGGGGATGAAAGTTTATATGAAACTTTGTCATTATTAAACCGATCGGGCTGAGACTTTGCATGCATAAAGCTACTATGACGTAGGCATCCCCTAAGAAAGAATTTTGATAAATTCCACCCCTAAGGAAATAAATTAACGCGAGCGAAGCCGCAGGCAAAAGCTAGTAGCAAATATATATGTTATCTGATCCAACAAAGATTGAGTGCGCAGCGTTTTTTATGTTGATTATCGCATGCCTAATCCTTGTTAAGGTGTATTTTCATAGACCTACTTTTTTAAAATCTAATTTTCTGTCTATTTATTATCTACAATCCATTGTGCTCGCCCTTTTTTCAAAGTTAGCTACCTAGACTCGTAAGGGACAAGAATTGTAGGATATTCTTAGGAGCGATGGTTTTTGTCTACCCAGGGTAGAGTGTATACTTTCTAAAGGAGATTCTTTTATGTTTGAATGGGCTACAATCACATAAAATGTGCTTCCTCTTCAGTTAAGCAAAATTGCAGATTTTTTGAGCACAGGGCTAAGTTTGTCATGTGTTTATTCAATTTGTAGAGTCCAGTGAGGGGCCTAGTCATGTTGGATATATTAAGAATAGAAGTAGAAATAATATTAATTCAAATAAACTCAATATAAGAATTTTTGAATAGCTTGTTTGCTGGAGGAATATTGCAATGTTTAATTTGATTTGTTTTAATTGAAATAAAAAAAAATAATTAGAATATATTGTACACAGGTTTTAATAATGACGCCACGGAATGTTTGAGAAGGAATTCAAAATTGTATATAAAATAACATCGACGTTCTGTGCCTGACGTTCCAAATTTGAAATTTTATAATTTTATTTTTAAATATATTAAAGGGCTATTTGCGATCGCAAACAATATTATTTCTTCTATCACTCACTCTTAATAATAAAAAAAAATCACTCACTCGGAAAGCAGACTCATTACAAAAAGAACGAGCAAGAAACATGTTGCTCTTTTAAATAAATGTTTTTCGATTTATATTCATATTATTTTATTCACAAATGTAATATAACTCATACACAATAGCACGTAAATAGTAGTTACAGATATATGTCAATGGTACGTGATTATGCGACTCGAATGCTCAGATGGTAGGTGGTGATGCGGCTCGAATGAATCGATGGTACTAGATGATGGCTTCAGTAGATTACGGGTTGTAGGAGTGATAGAATTTGCTTATATTCTTAAAATTAATGAGTAAATATTATTATAAATTACAATTTTGGTGGAGTGAACAAATTGTACATTAGATGGATCGGTTGATTTTTTAAAGTCTGTTCGTTAGGTTGCGTATTTAAATTGGATGGGTGTGCGCTCCAATCAGAACGCTCCCTTTTCGTTGCGTTTTGTTGCTGCTTGTACGCGACAGTCAACATATAATTATATCACAATTACAATTTCATTAAAAAAATCATTATTAATATTATCTCATAATTTTAAGTTGGAATTCATTACATATGTAAGTTGGTTGAATATCTTAATCAATACATAGTGTAATGGATCGGTGGACTATATGTCTAAATGATGAAAACACGTAGTTTGTAAGATAATAATATATATTAGAATATAGTTGCCAACTATACGAAAGACAATAAGAGTATAATACAATAAATTGAAGTATATCAACTAACATGACATATAAAAAAGAACTCTTTAAAAATATAAATTTAAAAATAATAAAAATATCAAAAGAGTTCAGCGGTCGGTCGCCAACACATAGTATAAAACAAAGTCGCTGTCGCTGTCTGTCCGTCCCTATGTATGCTTAAATCTTTAAAGCTACGCAACGGATTTTGTAGGGTTTTTTTTAATAGATAGACTCAAGAGGAAGGTTTATATATATAATACATGTACACCCGTGCGAAGCCGTGGTGAGTAGCTAGTATTATTATAAAAGCGAAACTTTGTGAGTATGGATACCCATCCACCAACGGATTTTGATGAAATTTCACAGTAATATAGCTTATACATCAGAATAACTATATATAAATTACATGCTAGTGAAATCGCAGGAACAGTATATATATATATAATGATATATATCTAAATATAAATATATATAAAGATATAATGAAGTGTGTATCAATAAATCCCGTGAACTGTACGAGCCTGCCAAAGAAAAACAGTCGGTAACTTTCCGGAGCAAAGGCCGAGATTAATTTTCTTTTCTAATTAAATAAAGTTACTGACGCCCATCAAATTATATATTGATGGGTTTGTCTTTCAACAGGGAAGTGTTTGCTCTGAGTAAATAGGTTAATACTTAAGTAGCTTAGAGTTGTTACGCACGTAACTGTAGGGTTATGTTTAAGGACGATTATGGAATGGATATGAATATGACTATTTTTATTATTATTATTATTATATATATATATAACTTAATGCACACAGTACAAAAGTAACAGTACATTTGGCGGACTTAACACCATGCGGTATTTTCTACCAGTCAACCATAGGCAGTACAGAGAAAAATTGTTGGTGGTGCAAAAATAATCATAACAAAAAAAAAATATAAATCAAGGCATAAAAAATTATATAATAATATTTATACTATTACATTTACAATAATACATAAATATAAAAATATAATATTATATATTATATAAAAAATAACTCGTCCTCCTCTCTTCTCTTCTCTTCCGCTTGCTGCCCACCAGGGTCCATAATTAACCTACTTTGAAATGTACCTGTCTATCTATCTACTGTAAAATTATGGAATGCAAATCTTAAATAAATAAAAATAAAAAAAATAAATGAGTCCGCCTGCGCTAACGGTTTACGCTGGTGGAGCACCAGTGGAGAATGATTGTGTGAATCTCAACGAGTTGCATGTATGTATTCGTTGTAAATAATTATAAAACACCAAATTGTAAATTAAATCGTAATTATATATATTTATTAAAATGTCGATATAATTAGCGGGGTTTCCACCCCGACCACACTTTTACACACACACACGACACCGTCCTCGCCGGCGAAGACGACGACCTCAAACACTCAATATCGCGCATTCAACCGGGCGCCTGCGCGCGCCCGGGCGCTCCACACCGGCACCCCCGGGCGCCCCTCCGATCGAGCCCCCGTCCAATTCAAACGGGGATCGAAATTACGACGGCCTGAGCCGAGGTTCGAACCCCTAGTGGTGCCCTCAGACTAAAGTCGTATCCGTCAGGCAGGAGTTGGCCTTCAGCCGCTCCATAAGTCCTACCGCGGGTTTGGAGTGCCATCTGCACTCGCCCCATAACCTCCGGTGAAGCTGTAAAGGCCAGCTACGGCCAACAGCATAGTCCGAAAAAAAAAAATAATAAGCTGTGTAACAAAATATTGAAGCACATTAAAAACAAATGACAATCTTATTTATTAGAACACAGCGTTCTATATTTAAATATTATGAAGTAAATAATTAAGAAGATTTTAATAGCTATTTTTGTTGGAGTTTCCAACAGATAAGATGTCAGATCAAGTCACTTAGCTCATCGTGACAATTTCACCAGGAATTTATCATAATGCTTTCCAGGAAACGCGTGAAGTTCAACCTGACATGGTATACTGTTAGCAATGGGGTCATCAGTCCATTATTATTGATCCCTTTCCCAAAGTATCTTAGGGATTTTTTTTATGAATGGTAATGGAATGGTATATCCGCCTGCGTTAACAGTTTACCCTAGTGGAGCACCAGTGGTAAATGATAAGATGTCGGGTCAGGTCAGTTAATCCATCGTGACAAATTCAGAAATTTATCATTATGATTTCTGGGAACCCCGTGAAGGTCAACCTGACCTGGTATATTGCTAGCAATGGGGTCATTGGTCCATTATTAACGATCCTCTTCCCTGAAGTAGTTTAGGGTTTTTTTAAGGATGATAATGGAATGGTGTACTCGCCTGCGCTAACGGTTTACGCTGATGGAGCACCAGTGGTAAATGATAAGATGTCGGGTCAGGTCAGTTAATCCATCGTGACAAATTCACTAGGAATTTATCATTATGATTTCTGGGAACCCCGTGGAGGTCGACCTGACCTGGTATATTGCTAGCAATGGGGTCATTGGTCCATTATTAACGATCCTCTTCCCTGAAGTAGTTTAGGGTTTTTTTAAGGATGATAATGGAATGGTGTACTCGCCTGCGCTAACGGTTTACGCTGATGGAGCACCAGTGGTAAATGATAAGATGTCGGGTCAGGTCAGTTAATCCATCGTGACAAATTCACTAGGATTTTTTTTTTATTTGTTTTTTTTTTTTATATATAGGAATTTATCATTACGATTTCTGGGAACCCCGTGGAGGTCAACCTGACATGGTATATTGCTAGCAATGGGGTCATTAGTCCATTACTAACATAATATGTGTACATATCCGAAATAAATGAATAAATAAATAAATAATTATATATTTGACTTAAACTCTAGAGTCAGCGAAAACTTACAAAACAAGCTTTGCAAATAAGATCACAATTACGAAAGTTTAGGAGATCTGAAATTGACGAAGGGATGAATGAATGAGGGAAATATGAGATGATAAGATATTAATTACAGCGATATATCAGACCTCGCGGCGGGGAATGGATTCTCTCATTTTGAGAGTAATTGTTAGATAGTATAGTTAATATATTCGATAACCAAAGATAGAGTAGAAAATATTGGGTCTAAATATAATATAAAAATAGATAAAGGCACAGATAATATAAT